AATATGTCATGTCAATACGTCATGTCATATACGTCATAACATATTTTAATTGATATTCTAATGTCTGCAACTCTACTTAATATAATAGGCTCCAGACCACTAAATAGATTGGTTCAAAAGAAGATCCTTAATCCACTGTCTATGTGCTTGATAGAGGTTAATAACTCTACTTCTTAACAAAAAAAAAATGTCCTTAGGTTATAAATTAATTGGAATTTTGACATTTATAGGGATCTATAAGGGATCATGAAATTGCTCGTATTCGCATGGTAAAAATAAGTAGTGGTGAAGAAGATTTAATTGTGGAAAAGAATCATGAAGTATTGGAAACAGCAAAACAAAGTGAAAATTAGAAACACATGAATATATAAAATAAAAATCCTATCATATAATATACACTAGTCAATTGTGATGACTTTCGTTTAAATGAAAGCTAATTTTCAATATGTTACAGTTTTTATCTAGAAATTTTTTTTGGCAACCCACGAATCTTACCGTGAAATTTCACTTTCACGTGAGGATCTCAATGGCTTACCCAATAGCGAGCCTCGCTTTGATGTAACGTTACACTAGGGTGTGCAACGGCCTATTAAAATCATATAGGCAGGGTTACTAATGATCATGGTAATTTTTGGTCTCAAATCCCGAAAATAAAATCTCGAAAGTATCAAAAATTGCTTTCGGATTTTGAACTTTGGGATTCTGGGTATCGGGATTCGAAGGGTTTATTATCGTTATGTTGGAATTGATATTGTAAATCGGACCTCATATTAATATAATTATCGCTATAAATTTTACCAAAATAAACATTACATTTATTGAAATAATTAAATAATATGCTATTTTTTTTTTTAAACTGAACTTCTAAACTAGCTTTACACTGAAATAGAGCTATTTTTTTTAATCTTTTTTTTTAAAAAAAAGCAAAAAATATGAAACAATAATCATTAGCGTTCAAATATTTTTTAAAAAATAGCTCTATTCCAGTATAGGGCTAGTCTAGAAGTTCAATTTTGTAAAAAATAGCATTCTATTTAGTTAATTATTTATTTCAATAAATCTAATTTTTGTTTTAATAAGATTGATAATGTGTGATCGATTCCAATAAAAAATTCGCAATTAGTGATCATTAGACCCTGTTTATGGGCCGTTGCACACGTTTTTCAAAAATCGTTTGTCTAATCCTGTGAAAATTTTGACGGAAATGTGGAAATGTTTGTTTTGAATTTTCTTGATCGTGTTACGTTACATCAAATTATGGTTCTCTATTGGCTGATTTTGTCGATCTTCACGTGAGCGTGAAAATTTTGTTTGCGATCCTCGGGTGGTAGTTACAAGATCTCAGTAACACGAACATTTTTTCAAATATATAAGCACTTGTATTTCGCTTTGCTTTAAGCCCTTCTTTTGTAAAAGTATTAAACAACGTAAATATACGCGACTAGTTGTGTTTCTTTTACGGAGAACGTTCTTGATATCTCTAATAGAATCATGATTGCAAAAATTAATTTTGCATCTCTTGGATTTAATACCAACCTGTCCGGTCCAAAATTTACGCGATGTAATTATCATCTTTCATCGTTATGTAAAATAGTTTCATCCAACAACTATATGTCATACACCACTTCAACAACTTCACCATCGTCACCCCTGACCGATCAAACCGAGTTAACTCCATATAATTACTCTACAGAACTATTAAAAGAATTAACAAATATGAAGGAGGCTCGATCAAAACGGAAATCATGGACTGAAGCTGAATTAAAGGAACTAATATCACTAGTGGAACAGCATGGCACACGCTTTACAACAATTCAAAAGCATTTTTCAAATAAAATACGTACCGTAGCGGCATTAGCTACAAAATATAAGATTTGGGTTGCATCACTCAACAAAGATAAAATTGAATCCGAATGGACTCCACATGAAGATCACAAATTACGTATAGGCATATTAACATTTGGAGTTGGTGAATGGGGAAAAATCTCAGAATACATGAAAACTAAGGATATTTCACAAATTAGCCGTAGATGGCAAAAAATAAGTCAGACAAGACGCGGTCGATGGACTGCTGCAGAAAATGCAATGTTAGAGAAATTGCATAATGATCATGGCAAACAGTGGGCACAATTCGCTGGTATTCTGGGTCGTCCAGCAAGGAATATTAGAGTACACTATAGTTTTCAGTTTGAAAAATGGTCAAAACAAGAAGATGAATTGTTGACGAATAGTTTGAAGGAGTTCGGATTTAATTGGGAAAAAATTTTAGAAAGATTTCCAAATAGAACTATTAGAAAACTTAAATCCAGGGTTGATAAATGTACTTCAATTAATCCGTTTGTTAACCATGGAACTTGGACTGCTGAAGAACAAAAACTATATGAAAAAGCTATTTGCGCGCATGGAAGCAAATGGTTAGATGTAGCACTAGTTGTTAAAACTAGAACTCCCAAGCAATGTGCGAATCACTATACACATTATGTCAAAAGTTTTTGTAGTGATCGTGAAAAGTTACTTGGAACTTACAAGGCAAAAAGGCGTAGGAGAAGAAGGACGAAATTTGATCAACTAGAAAATATAGAATTAAATGAGACAAGAATGCTTAAAATATGGGATTAAAAGAATAATATCGTATGTTTTCATAAATGCAGCAAATTGTTTCATCGGTTATTTTTCTGCAGCGATGAAAAGATTTGAATAACGAAATATCGAATTCATCATTGTTTCTTAATTTCTTGAATGATTTTATTTTAAAATCTGATGTTTTTAGCCTTGTTTAATATTCAGTTTATTGCATTCATCATCATCAATGTTTGTAAAAACGTGCATCAAGAATATTCTGGTTTAAATAATGTAGTAAATTTAATTAATAATTGAAATAACGAAATGCAGTAAATTATATTGAGGACTTCAATTAGGTGTGACAACATTTTTTGTATACTTACAAACTTTGGAAAATTTTAAACAATTTTTTTTTTAATCAATTTAGATGCTGAAGATATTACAGAATAAACAGCTATTTAAGATTAATGTTCTTTTTTTGTTAGAATTTTTGAGCTGTTTACAGGCTATGTAATATAATTACCTCCAATATGTGAGTATTTATAATTGTAATTAATATAAGCATTGGCAGTTTTACACCTATTTTTGAATTTTCACTCCTGTATATAACCTTTAAATTATCTAGGCTTAGCCATAACCAATAATATATGTAATTAAATTTATTTATACATGTATCTAATATAGAGATTATACCCGTCAAGGAAATTTCTACCTGGGTAATTTATTATGCCATATAATAAAAATGTCTACCCGGGTACAATCTCTATGCAAAATTTTTTATTAATATATATTATTCTTAAAACTATGCTTTTACAATTTCTATTAAATTAAACATAGGTTAGTTATTGCCATGTATTTAAAAAAAATAGTTAAAACTGGCTTGTAGTTTAAAACGTCATTTATGAAGCCGTTTGTTTTTATAAATTTTGCTATAATTACGACCAACTTTAATTTTATAGTAAAATTTTTATTCTAATTTAAAAACACAAAATTTTATATAATATTAAAGTATTTACCGTATTTTCGCGTAATAACGCTCATGAGCGTTATTTAGAAAATTGTAACCTCTAAAAATAACACAGGGATTCAAAATATCGCTCATGCGCATCCCAAAATAACGCGCATCTATATAAGACAGTGTTGGCCGATGACATAGGTCATAACATTTTTTCGATATGACCTTGGTCATATAATCATTTGACTTTTTGGTCATAAGTCATATTGGTCATATCAAATATTAGTAAATTTTTTTTTTACTATGAATCTTACTATATTAAAAGGTCATAAAGTCATATCAACTTTCGTTATGACCAAATGACCTATGACAGGTCATAAAGGTCATATAGGTCATTCAAGGTCATCGGCCAACACTGATATAAGAAGTGCTTATTTATACTGTAGTTAAATTTAATAAAACTGCTTGCTCTTAGATCAAGTCGATTTTAACGGTGATAAAATCATCAAAAACTGTCTAGTAGATCTCGCAATAACTCTTCAAAAATTTAGAACATTTGTTTATCTTTGTCATATTATGTAAACAAAGATAAACAAACGTTCTAAAATTTCGAAGAGTTATTGTGGGAGGTCTACTGGACCGTTTTTGATGATTTTATCACTGTTAGAATCGACTCGATCCAAACGACTTTGATTAAAGCTCAAAAATATGTTTGCTTAGTATCTAACTAGTTTCGGTGCATTTTTTTGTTTTATATAAAAATATTTAATTATTTCAAAATAACGCTCAATGCGCGTACTCTAAATAACATGCAGATGAGCATTATTACGCGAAAATACGGTTGTAAAAATATAGATACCATATTTTCACGGAATAACGCTCATGAACGTTTTGTCTCTCATCAAGGAGGTGTTTTGTAAAGCAATGAAATATAACTATGGGTTATCTGTCTCTTCCGCTTTGTACTATAGTGTACCTACTAACAATGCAGACTTTGAAAGTATCATATAAACCTATGCTACTGTTTACTGTATATGCTACTATGCTACTATGGTGGTAATATTGGTGGGCGGGTTAAAAAAAACCAGAATCATACTGGAAAAAACCCTGCCGCAACCGAAATCTTTGTGACTGTTATCTCGACAGGCCACTCTCTACTGCTAAACTGCGACTGTTGTCCTGACAGGCCACTTCTACAACCAAAAAATCAAAAATGTGACTGTCGTCCTGACAGGCCACTTATAATAAAACTCGAAATGTGACTATCATCCTGACAGGTCATGATTATGCAAGCAATAACTATCGTTTTGATAGAGCAAGCTCCAACGGATGCTTGCTGTTATATATATCTATGATTCAAACTGGTTCTAAAAAATTCTTATTAGGCCACCCTACATGGGGTGGAGAGTAGAGTTGCAGACATTAGAATATCAATTAAAATATGTTATGACGTATATGACATGACGTATTGACATGACATATTACATTATATATAAATCTTATATGATGTAAAGGATGATGTAAAAAGGTAGTTATCTTTGATCTTCTAAATGTCTGCAACTATAGTAGAAAGAGTGGGACAAAAAAACTAGACAAAGTTAGATTAGTAGAAAAAACAGAAATTATCTTGTCTAAAAAAACCCCATTCTCTTTAAATATGCCCTAATAATTACAAATCAAAAAACTACATAATTATGTCATTACTCTAAAAACTATAACAACATAATTACATCATTACCATAACTAATTATATGATCACCAGATCGAACATACTATGCAAATTACATAACCAAATCAATTAGCTTTAATGATTACTAATGATTAAGCAAATTATCC